TTTCTAAAAAGAACACACCCCAAAGCAGTAGATTTTTTTTAAAAAACCCTAGCTCATGGGTTCTGATCCACTGCTCCAGAAGGGCACATTTTGGTTTCATTTCTCTGCAGTTCTATCAAATCCCGTGCTCAATGAAACAAAAGTGAAAATGGACAGAAACAAAAAGGCAAAGGTATTTGAAGATATGCTGTGTTTACCCATAATTTCCTGCTGCAGAATTCCTTGTACCTTCTGCTGTTCTTAGAAACAGTAGCAGTGCCCCAGCCAGACCCCAGGTCCAGTTCATGGGAACAACTGTTGGCTTCCTGCCTTTCATACATAAACCATGCACTGAAAAGCATGTAGACCTTGAGCAACCATTGACGCATTTATCATTTTCCCTAGTCCACTGATTTTAGTTATGTAAGCCTCCTATGATGTTACAGAAATGTGAGATTAAATACAGATTTGTTTTCTGTTGTCTGTCCTAATAGCCTTGGAGCAGGCTCGCTAGGGACTTCACACTCTCACCTTCTTAGCAATTAACAGAGAAAAAGGCACTTCAGGGTGGTGCATATAATCCATTTAAAATGTCTATTTCAAGATTTAATAAAAAGCACAAACTAAAAGCACCTTTTTCATTTCATTTGACTATAAAGACTGACCAGCTCAGATATACATCTCTATCCTACAGCTCTTCTAGATTTTACTAGATGATTCTCTCTTGCTAAATGCATCACTGTAACCTTTGTCCTTCTCTTGCCTGACACTCAAATTCTGCAGCCTTTTTTGGTCGTTCCTAGGAGTTTTGCTGGTCAGCAGCTCTTTTTGTTTTCAGAGCTGCTGTAGCATGCCTGCCTTCTATAGCTTTCTGTAGTGCCTGTCATAGTGTTATATTACAGAAGACAAACATGCATTGCTTTGCAGAGGCTTGTCTTTGTTCCACTATTTATTGAACAGGAGAAAATGATTTACAATTAATTTTGTAGCTTATCTTTGTCTGTGAAAAAGCGATAGTCTTTCTGGCTGGGGCTGGGCAAATATACTGTAACGTGGGAGGCCTGAGAACCTGCAAACAATGTAGCTGACAACTTGTCAGCTGAACAGTATCTGTGCGTAATAACTAAAGGGACTAAACAACGTTTGAAATCCAGTATATTATATAAATGTGCTCATTTTCTATGTGCAGAAAGGCTAGAAAGGAGCTGACTGGAGGGATAGCAAGAGAGCTGGAAGGACAGAAACAGAAGAGTAGCACGCACAATGTATATGTATTTCAGTCTACAAAGCCTTGCCCCTGTACATGCAGTTTCACTTCAAAACAAATTAATTTTTTAATTACTCCATAGGAGACGGCAGAAGGGAAATCACTGTGGTAACAATGAATGTGCTAAGGTCTGAAGTATGCTGCATCTTTTATAGTGATTGCTGCATATTGAGAAACGCAGCTTCAGAAGTGGTAACCTCATGAACTGCCTAGGCATGAATACTACTATTGTTTCCAAGTAAGAAAAACAGACCCACAGAAAACAGAAACTCCTACAGCCCTGGGTTGATGCCAAACTGTTGTATATTCTTTCAGAGGAAGATAACCTGCTTAATTTTGAGTATGTTCTTGCAGTAGCTTATTTTATGCTTATAACTGAGTAGCCAAGCAAAGGAGACGGCGTTCTGGAAATCTAGAGCATGTATTTGTGTTTGACAAAGCTCAGACACAAACCAGGCTGATAGCTGGACATCCATTCAGAACCGTATTAGGAAGAGCTCTGAGATAGAGAAAGTTAACTTTTATCCTAAAATAAAACCAAGGAAGTCATAAGGAAGTGGGAAGAAGGCCAGTACGAAACCATGAGGTGTTGGTACTTTATACAGACCCTTGCATTTGTACTTCTCAATGTGCAAGTGGTGCTAGAAATGATGCTCTGTGCTTAAGGCTTCACAACATTTGAGAGTGAGATACGTGGACTTGTTCTGTGTCAGCCCTTAGACAGTAATTGAATCTCTGCTATTACCAGAGCCTGAAGAGAGCACAACTTGAATCTCAGAACTGGTGGTCTTGTCTTTTTTGTAAATATGTGCCTTACTCTCAGAGCAGGATAAAATCCATCTCATGTCTACCTATGACATTAATGTTTTCTAAAGCCTGACTTCTTAAAGCCTCAGAGCCTGGGACTTCATTTTCCAGATGCTGTACAAGCATATTTTATCAGGTTTTCCTTTTTGTTGAAAATGTGCTCTCATTGCTTTTGTGTGCTAGCAATGGTGTGATTTATTTTGTTCTTTAATCTCGCATAATGGAAGGACAGGAGAATCTTACTTTGACCCTTTTCTTCACATTCTTTGATCCCAGCGATCTTTAGGACAGTGTTTTTCCAGCAGAAAATGGTGTGTCTCTGATGAAATTACTCAACACAGTAACAAAGGACCCTTTGCTCCTCCATAGTTGCTATATCCTCTGTCTCAGCAGCACCATAGGATAATGAACTCAGCACCCAGCTCCTGCCCCCCGAGCCAGCTGTGCTTGCTGGCACTCTGAATTTTTGGCCCAAGAATGTTTCTATTTGGATGCAAACTTTTTTTTTTTTTTTTTTTCTCTTTTTTTCCCCAAAAAAGCTTTGTTCATAAAATAAGGATTTGAGTGACCTTTTGGATTATCACAATTAGTAACACTGAGCTTCAGATAATAGGCCCAGATTATTGTATTAGAGATCCAGATGGTTTCCATTGCATAAACGATTATCTGCTACTTAGGATGGCTGGTACTGGCTGGTACTGGGATAGATGGATTTTAGGTCAGTGCAGACACTGGTTGATGCTAAATTAAAACCTGTCAGTATGTTCTCTGTTTTCTGAGTCTGAGGTGGGCCTTCTGAATGAGCACACCAGGAACACAGCAATTTTCCTTCCTACTCCACAAAAAAAAAAAAAAAGGAGTATAGGAATATTCGGCATGACATCTAGTGTGTGTGGTTTCAGCCTGATTTTAGCAACTCGCTTATGCAAACATTTTTCATATAAGAATGTATCCGTCTGTCCACTCTACCCCAATAACTTTTCAATTGTTTGAATGATTTAACAGCAGATTTGTCAAAATTTGACAGCAAACTCCAGCCTCTGGAAACCCAGTCTTCTAACCTTTTCACTAAATAGCTATTTATATTCACTTATATTCACTCAATTAGCACTTGTTGTCTCTCCCCCTTTCCCCTCCCTCCCCCCTTATGTGTATCCAATGGGTATTGGTATGTGGGTTAATATTAAATTTGCAGCTGCTAGCTGAAAAATAGTAGCTTAACCCCTTATCAAAGACTCATCACTCTTCTTCCTGTTTTCGCTATGCTTTTCCTTCTAATATACTCTTATGAAAATATTACAAATTTAACATAAAGTCTGAAGGAAACTTTCTTTTTCAGTAGTGCAGAGAGGTTACTTTTCATTTATTTACTCCCATAATGCCAAAAAGACAAAGGGTTTTCAGTACAACTATGATTCCTCTTATTTCTCAAAGTATTCTTAAGAAACACAGTATTGCACAGCAGAATACAAAAAGGAGAGGTCCGGCTTCTCTCAGGCTGCAGTTTTACTACCATTTGACAGGAGGATTAACCTAAGTAGCCCTTGCTCCTGTCATTGAATCCCGTGTCCGCTACAAATGTTTGTGCCATCATTGTTCAAGTAGAGCTGATTTATGGCTTGTTCACTTTGTGCACAGGGTGGTTTGTTTTTTTTTTTTCTTTTTTTGGTTTTGCTATGAACCACAGATCGATTCCCCATTAGCTTCACTGGGCACTCAGGCAGAGCTCAGATTTCTGGTTTTGCTTCCAGAATTAGGGCCTTATTTCGCATGTGTAACACCTAAGCACCTCCTTGCATACAGGTTTTTGGTAGTTAGTGAATTCCCATGTGCTCATGTGCCATTTGAAACGGTGATGTAGATACTTTGGGAAACTTCACCTTGTCTCTTTAACCTCTGAATAGATGATTTAATTCCTGAGGTAGGCGGCTTTTAAACGGAACATTTCATCATGTCAATGACCCAGTTCCTGGGTAAAGTGTGATGCAATCACATTGTGAATCACTTGTATCTTCCTGAACCTAACAGTAGTCTTAGTAGTAAACCTCCAGTGTAATCCTCAGGAAATCAGTGCCACATCTGATTCAATTAAAGGAGTATTGACATAAAAGGTTCCTCAAGAATGTGAATATCAACAGCTAGTTCAACTAAAGCAAATAAACCACCTTGGGAAGGATCTAAAATTTGCAGAGAGTTGATGGGGAATCAATGAGGGAAATAAGATCTAGAGAAGTTTTCTTACTGTGATAGCAGGAAGGAGTCAAAGTAGACAACCTGCTGTTTAGAAAGACAACTCCTTAGAAGAATCAGAAATGTGGAGCTCTGAATTTACACAAATTGATGCATCTGAAGAGGAGCAGCCTTTTGATTTCCTTGATATATAGGTGGTCCTCTTCCCACCTAAATGTGGCTTATTTACATCCAATCATTTCTGTTTTGGCATTCTTCATGTTCCTATTTCCTGCTGAATGTAATGTTTATTATACCATGAGGAGAACAAAACTGTCCTTCTAGAAGCAGAGAATGAAAGTTAGAAATGTAAGCAGATTCTCAAATCTAAAAAGGGAATTGAACTCAACATTTAGCAAGATCTTCCTGCAACTCATTCCAACTCTTTTTTATCCTCCAAACGAATAACAACGAAAGAGAGTTTCTGATTGATTGAAAAGCCTCAATTTATTCAGTGTGGCTTTATTGTGATTTTGAGACTCTTTATGGCTTATGGGAGAATTTATCTGCACACTAAATGTGAGAAAAGAAAACCCACAACTGATTTAGGTAAACTTTAACATTTGTACTTGTGACCCTTTGTGTAGGAGGATGTGCAAAACAAAACTGTCTGGGTGCCAAGGGAATGGAAACTTTCCAGATTGTGAATGTACTGACCTTCAGTAAGGGAGCAGCAAGATATATGCTCTGGGGTCTGTTTTTTTTTTTTTTTTTTTTCTCTTGAACATTTGAGTTTATTACAATGAGTCATGGATGCCCTCAATATCTAGATATGATATTTGTCCCTTGTGAGCTTTTTACCCATTTTTTTGTTATATGCCCAAATGCAATTAAAAAAAGTCTCAAAAAAAAAAAAAAAGTAATAGTTATTGCTGGTCTAGATGTATTGCTGGTCTAAACTGCCCTGTTGCTGTGTTTAGTCAAAACAAAGCAGGCAGTTTGCATCTGTGTAGATTATCAAAACATAGTTTGTCTGATCTCATATTTACAGGATGTCAGAACTACTCTGCTCTTGGGACTTGGCTTCATTTGTAAATTAAATAGATGGTGAAACTTTATCTACAGTTAAGATCTTCTGTCTCCAGTTGGCTTTTCCTAAGTTTTCCTTAATTCTATTTTTTTCCTATCTCTCTCATCATTATCCTCCTCTTACATCCTGAAGGAGTTGATAAGACACATCTTTCAAAGAAAATTTGGTCAGTAGGTTTTTGTGGAAAGCTAGTTGCTGTCTTAGATCAGTTTAACAGATGAAACCTACCTCTTTATGGCTGGAAAGGGGGTTGGTTCTCGCAATGAAGCAAACACTACAAAGTTCAAAAAAAGTAGATCATGTTCCCTGGATGCATTTGATACCTTTGGGAAACTGAAAAATGTGGGCACTAGCTAGTGATAACTGTTTTTTAAAATTTTTTTAATACCGGTTTTATAGACTTGTAGGAAAGTGGGTACAGGAGTCTCCTTTCATCTTTCAGTTCACTTACTGAGTTGCATGGCTCCCTGATGAAGCCTTGTGAGGCCTTGGAGAAATGCCTTGTTTCTCACTCCTAAAAGCAGCCTGGAAATAAGATAGTTTCTGTTACTTCCATATATCAACAGCCAGGCAGGCTATAGATACAGTTGAAGTAATACATTTAATGTTCTAGAGAGTACTTTGTTTTCACCTAACTGAATGCTTGTCCCTTAGACAAAAAGGCAACTACAGGCTTGGACTAAAGACCAGAGCAGTATTACTGAAACTGCAGATGATGTTGTATCTTATGATGAATTTGCTACTTTGAGCTGGTTGCATCTCCAGAAAACATTTAAGATAAAAATCATGGTTAATATTTGTTCATGTCAGGTTGTTAAGGTTGTGCATGTATAACTGGTAAGGTTGAAATCCTAGCGAAATATTCTGACAGTCACTTATGGTGGTGAGAAACTAGGTAACAATATTTTTCCTGTAATTTATGGGAGAGAAGAGCAGTAGCAATGGAAAGGCAAGTAACAGTGCCTTTTCTCCCTGTCTCCTTCGTAGATGTTTACGGTTGTGTTACAGAAGCATCATTAAAGCCAGATGTTTAAATGCTGTGGAAGAAGGTAAAGTGAAGGCATGGGGAGACTGACATGCATCAGGCCTCTCAGAGGAGTCTTCTGGACACAAAATTATATCAGGTACTTCAAAGGCTGTCTCTGCTACTTGATGTTGGGACTGATAATGCACTCATGCTGCAGGGTCACTGCCTTCCACCTCCAGAAATTTGCTGTATCACCTTCACTGTTTTAGTCAACCCTGTCATTAAGTTGATTTTCATAAAGACTGGTAATGTGCCATCCAAGCTTCTATTAGCACTTTGACCTCTGTGATTAGCTGGGACTCCTTAAGAAAGCAGTTTCCTTTGGTTGAGGTTGGTTTGCTTTGGCTGAAAGCAGCCTTCCTCCCCCCTCTCCATAGCTGAGTCTGCAAAGCAGAGTGCCTTGTTTCAGTTTGTCAATCCTACTGGTTTTTAGGTGAAGATTATGATCTTGGGAACTTGCTGCAGCAGGGGGAAGGGCTGGAATAAGGATCAGTCACACTGTGAAGTGCCACAGCCTGAGAACCAAAGCCGAAGCCTGCATTTAGCTTGGGTAGGACTTAAGCACCACTGCAGTCCTCTCTGTGGCTGGAGAGTTACCTTGGTCCCAGGTTGAAGCCAGATTCAGGATGCTGATGATAATGCATTGTTCCTCAGGAATTTCAGTCCTAAGAAGAAACCTTTAGTTATGTTCTTACTTCATGTCCTTTACAGAAAGGACTATCCATCATTGCAGCTAAGTAGGTGGGTAAAGTTCCCTCTTATCTCTCTCTCTGAAAAGCAAAGGAATTGCTGGGAATGGAGTACTGGGGGAGCTGCTACTGTACTTGAAGAGATGAAGCAAGCAGAAGGGGTCTGGCAGCTCAGGGCAGCTACACCTCTTTTTCTGCTATTACAAGCATTTTAGCCTGCTTTTTTGTTCCTCCCCCTCCCTTCCTCCTCATTGAGACATCAGGCTTGCCAAGCAGAAAGGGAGGGCCTGAAACTGCTTGCCTTGAGGCCTGGGAGGGGAGGAAACAGCAATTTATATTGCTAGATTGGGAGGAGGTCGGAGGGTACAGAGGGGCAAAGGGCAGATACTTGGCTGGGGGTGGCGTGGCACAAGGGAGGGAGGGATGCAGGCTGCAGAGAGTTGAGGAGGTACACTGGATTAATTGGCCTTGGGAGAACGTATGGTAAAAAGTCAAGAATCTATTGCAACAGATTCAGTGTAACTTAATTTGGGGAGTCCTGCTTGAAGTCCCCAGCTTGCTCTGCAAAAGTAAATCTTTAAGCAGTTGCAATTAAAGCCACACATGTATATATACAGAGCTCAGTTCCTTGCGTGACATTAAACAGTTCCCTATGTCCTGTAAAACTCTTAATCCCACACCCCACCACTCTTCAGATACTGTAGGTATTTGGAGAGCTGACTCAATTTTTGAACCTGTAGCCTTGTTTTCTCCATGTCAGCAGCTTCCTTAAAATGACACATCAGTAATCCAATAACCATTTTAAACTATTAAAGGGAGTTTTTAACTTGGGCTTTTTTGTGTAACTGCTGAAACAGCAAATGTTTATATGTCTGTAATTATGTGAAGTTAAATGGCGTTACAGTAGTAGTTCTACTAACTAGATGTCACTGCAGCTAGATGTTTGAAATTTGACACAGTATTTTTATGTATGATAAAAGTCATCACATATGACAGGAAATTTGAAACAGTTTTAGAAAAGATATGAACGAGTGTCTTGCAAATTCATCTTACTGAAACTCCGTTACAGAAAATTACCCATTAGTGTCATAATGCTCTATATTGTTATGCTTCCTTTATTTTTACTCTTCTCAGTTGTGTCAACACCCTGCTACCATTCTGTCATCACAAAATGGGGCTTTTTAAAATTTTGTATCTGCTCTTTCTTTATAGGAAATGCTAGACCATGACTGTGCTGGGAGATTTTGAGCTTCGGTCAGTACCTGCGGTGGAAGTTTTTCAGATTTCTATACGCAGAGATAGTGTCTTAAACCCCTCCAGGGGAAATTTATATTCTGTCTTCCTCCTGTTCTTCCCCCGTGACTTCCAGTGACTGAAGTCCTTCGTCGGTCATACCGTTTCCCCTCTTGCCGCCTGCGGAGCTGCCTCTAGCAGGAAGTGTGGGCACGCAAGTGTGTTTTACGTTGGCGTCGAGGAGAAAAAGGTCGAACTGCGGGTTCTGCAGCAAGGCCCGTCCTCGCCGGCCCGTCAAGGCAGCCGAGCCGTAGGAGCCGGGGCAGTGGGGAGGAGAGCCGCGCCGGGGGAGGGCCAGTCCGCGGAGCGAGGCGCCCTGCAGGCCCGCTCCGCGCCAGCCGTGCCGGCCGCCGGCACCCTCAGCCCCGCAGGCCGGGCCGCTGCCCCGCCGGCCGTTCCCCTTGCAGCGCGGGCCGCCGGCGGGGAAATCCCCGCCCTGCGCCGCCGGGAAATCACGTTCCGCTGGCGGGTTTCCCCGGCCGGGAGGAAAGTACCTAACGTCCCGGCCGGCGCCAGCAGGGCCGCGGCCGCCCTCCCCCGCTCGGTGCGGGTTCCCACCGAGCAGAGCGGCAGGGCCGGCCCGGGGCGGGTGCGGGGAGGGGGGGCACGGCGGGAGGGGCCCGCCCGCCCCCTCAGCCCGCGCATGCGTCCGGCGGCCGCCGGGGCTTTCCCGGCGCGGTGGCCGCAGTCGGGCGTTCCGGGCAGGGGCGGTGCCGGCCGGGGCCCCCCGTGCCAGGCACCGTATATAGGCGGGGGCGCGGCGCAGGCTCCCCGGCTGCGGGGGGCCCGGCTGGAGACCGTGAGTAGCGGGCGGGGTGTGCGGGTGGGGGCCGGGCCGCGCCGCGGCCTGGTGGCGCCTGCTCTGCCCCGGGCTGGGCCGGGACCGCGGCCGCGCAGCCCCGCTGAGGGCGGCCCTCCCTCAGGGAGCGGGGCCCGGGCCCTGCGGGAGCCCCGGGGCGGCTCCTGGCAGCCCGTGGTGGCGGGAGGGTGGGGGAGGGACAGCGGGGGCGCTGTCGCGGAAGGTGCGCGGCCGCGCACAAGCCCCGCCGGGTGGAGCAAGATCCACGGCGCTCAGGATCCGTGGGCTTCGCGAAGGGTGCGTAGAAGGTAGCCTTGTTTTGCCTGGCAAATGACACAAGAGCAGAAGAATACTCCGTTGAGTTTTGAGGTTGCTGTACTTTAAATATCACTGCTCTGGATTTAAATAACTTCATAGTGCCACTGTAGGATAATGGAAGGAAAAAAAAAAACCCATGAGAGTCAGAGCAGTTGGTTGACTGGAAATCAAGGATGCTCAGGACTCTACTGGAGGATAATACTAGAAGAGCGTTCGGCAGCAAATGTCCACAGGGTCTCAGGTTTAAGTGATCCTAAATGTTTTAGGATTATCAGCGTCTCAGTTTGTTGTGATATTTCTAGCATTCAGTCTGAGTTATCAGACTTTCTCCAGGATGAAAACTGGACTAGTTAACCTCTTGGACTAGTGTCGTTCATGTGTGTTGATGGCTTAGTCCCACCATCTGTGTTAAAGGAGTGGATTGGTGTAAGGCAATTGTAGCTCAGTTTCTCAGTGGTTAAGAAGCTAGTAGTAGTAATACTGTGACCATATTGAGAACAAATCTACTAAGAGCTATTGAGATGAGTAGGAAATGCTCTGCTGTTTTCCAGTAGGTGATTTTTCTAGGGCTGTGTCATCATGACAAGTGTATCTGTCTTTCCTGGAAGAACTTTTTAGGAACTGATACTGTAAAACAGCCTGCTGTATATTTATACATGAATAAATATGAAATTATATATTAAGAACTCTTTAATTTTGTCTTTGCTCTTACCTGAAATTTTTGGTGAAGTTCAGTTTTGCTGATGTCCTATGCTTCAAGTATCATTTGGTTTACCTAAATAAGAAATTCCAGTACTCTTAAGTCAGTGTAATAAAACTGGATCTTAATTGTTTGAAAATGTGCAGGCTTAAACAAATTTAAATGGATGCAACTTCTTTAGTAAAAGGTCTTACCTTCAGTTACACAGCTTGTGATCAGGCAGCCTGATTCATCCAGCTGCCAAAAAAGTTCTGCTTGTGGGTTTAAGTTTTGCAAATGTGTCATTAACAGGGAAATTAAGTATATAAAATACAGTCTGTATAACAGTATGTAAAGTTGATTCCCTGAAACTTTCTAGGTAACATTACAGAAAAGCTTATGTTAAGATTTCAGTGTTTCACTTTGTGTAGTTTCTGTTTGTATAGACATTATGTGCACCTTATCTTGTGTATTTTGAAACACTCTTCTCTTTCTTCCTTGCAGGTTTTGTTCTGCCCAAAATAACTAAATGGTTGAAACTATAGATACTTACTATTTCTTGTTGCAAACAGTCAGTATCAATATGGAGGCGTAGGCACCTTAGAAGGGACTTCAGTCTGAACTCTGGGAGGTAGTTCTGTGCACAAATAAAGAAACTAAGGCTTCAATTTTTTTTTTTTTTTAATCTGAGGATTCTGTTTGCTTCTGTGTCATAAATAAACATGGCGTACAGAAAAAAATTAATTCAACATTATAAAGCATTAGAATGTCCCAACACGAGGCGATTAATTTATGTTAAATTTGATAACTCTAGACTTATAACTAAGGCACCAGGTTAAAACTGAAACACCGTTCGATCGGTGCTAACAATGTTATAGACAGAAAAGCCTGGGACTACAGTTTATCCTTGTCAGAGGCAGTGTATAGGATCATCCTCTGACAGTTCATCCTTCTCGGAGACAGTGTATAGGATTTGTATCTCTCATAGCTGAATATTCAGTATGTGTGAAGTTGAGTATAAACTAACTTCTTTAGTCTTAATGATTATTACAACAATATGAAGAAGTTGAGGTTTTTTTTGGAAGTCTGGTAATAGCAACTATACCAGATCAGTTCAGGGGCTCTTTGTTGTATGCCTTTTGAGCTTGATAAACCATTATTTTTAGTCTCCTAATGAAGTTTTTAAACTAAAATCTTTACTTGTGTATAAGCTGCATATTTATCAGCTGTCCAGGGTGAAATGGTTCTTAAATCACTTAACATGTTCTGGTTAAAAATGATGTTGTTTTAATTGCCCTCCTTTTTAGTTTCTTTATTGATAAAGGATTGACAAAGAATAAGCCCATTTTAGGTATATCCCACCTCCATTAGCCTGAGAAGTTGATATTGCTCTCCCAGATACACAGTACAAGGAAAGCTTGTGATGCCTATATGATTCAGGGAAAAGTCCTTTTTGACATGCTTTCTGTAATTGTCAAAATGGGGTGGGGCAGCTTTTGTGCTAAAAGCAGTTGTGTAAACTAAAGTACAAGAACTTCCCCAATGTTTCAAGGCTGTTTGTTAATCATGAGGCTAATTCTATTCATATATGTGTTCGAAGTTGCACATTAAAGTATTTCATTTTCAGGTTCCTACTTTTGTACAGGCAGGGGTTATTCCAAATTGCCTTTAATGCACACAACTACCTCCCAGAGGAAGACTTGTCCCATTCTTCCAAAAGTAATCCATTATGAACATAATGGAAAATAGCCCTTTCTTGGCTAGCATCATGAAGCAGAGTGCTGTGTGTGGTGAACTGAAGTACGACTTATCCTGTGAACTCTACAGAATGTCGACGTTTTCTACTTTCCCCATTAATGTGCCGGTGTCAGAGCGGAGCCTTGCCCGGGCGGGGTTTTATTACACTGGTATGCAAGATAAAGTTAAGTGCTTCAGTTGTGGCTTAACATTGGACAACTGGCAACCAGGAGATAATGCTATGGAAAAACATAAACAGCTGTATCCTAGTTGCAGTTTTGTTCAAGACATACTTTCAGTTAACAACCCTGGACAGTCCTCTCATTCTGCCTTTTCGCCTCCGGTCTCAAACGATCTTTCACCATCTCTACATTCCATAACACTTTCTCCAAGTTTAGAACAAGTTGGGTATTTCAGTGGCTCTTTTTCCAGTTTTCCTCAAGACCCAATAACTACTAGGGCAGTTGAAGACCTTTCATTCTTGAGACCTAAACTTCACAATCCTTCTATGAGTACAGAAGATGCTAGACTACGCACTTTTCACTCATGGCCACTGACGTTTCTTTCACCCACTGATCTGGCAAAGGCTGGACTTTATTACCTGGGGACAGCAGACAAAGTTGCTTGTTTCACCTGTGGTGGTCAGCTGAGTAACTGGGAACCAAAAGATAATGCTATGTCAGAGCATCGGAGACACTTTCCTAACTGCCCTTTTGTGGAAAACTTTACCCGAGACCCACCAAGTTTCAATGTTTCAAATGTGAGCATGCAAACCCATGAAGCACGTGTTAAAACATTCATAAATTGGCCAACTAGAATTCCAGTTCAGCCTGAACAGCTTGCGGACGCTGGATTTTACTATGTAGGTAAGAAAAACTGGTGTCTCCCAATTTTATTCATGTTGTTACAACAGCACTTACTTTTAAATTGTGTGAATGTTTGCTAGATATTTTGCCTTGTTTTTTTAAAGGCCGCAATGATGATGTCAAGTGTTTTTGCTGTGATGGTGGGTTAAGGTGCTGGGAATCTGGAGATGATCCATGGATTGAGCATGCAAAGTGGTTTCCAAGGTAACTTGCAAAATCTTTTATCATAATTTGTTCACACCCTTAAATACTTCTGGCAGATACGTACTGCACCTAATAGTTTTGTTTAACTTCACTATATGAAGTACAAATTCACTCTTTCATTTGGGTGTATTTTATGTACCTCTATTTAAAAGCTCTGAAGTGCTAAGGTGGCCTTAAATAAAACATTTCTTCATTAAGCATGATATGTAATGCTTTCCGCTTCATAATTAAATGTATGCATCCCCAAATCACAATTAGCAAGTGGGGCTGCATTGTTAATGAGCATACTTAGCTAAGAGAAGCAGTCAGAAAGCAGACTGAGGAGAGCAAAAGCAGAGAAATAAGAAGGAACATCTGTCTCCCGTGGTCTAGTTCTGTGCCCATGCTGAATGTGCTTGAACCAGTTTTTCAGTTTGTGTGGTTTAGTTTTAGGTGTGGAAACACTTGTGAAGGTCTTAGTGGCTGTTTAATATGTATTGGAAAAATTACAGAAACAACTTCTGAATGTCCTCTATAATTAAATGGCAGTTGCATACCTAATTGCTATCTGTGGAAATCTCCACCTACATTAATGACAAATAGCTGCGCTTAGTTACAGGAAGGCTAATAATATTTCTTCACATCTTAGATCTCCAGCTAGTCTTTCATGGGCAATTTGCCTGCTACTGTTGGACTACATGGTGTAGGTAGAGTTAAATGACACCTTTGTTTCCTTCTGTGTTATGCTTGTCAGTAAATGTACTTAACAGATACAGTTCTGCATTAGTGAAGCAGATCTGGCTTCGATAGTGGTGTTAAATTTTGTTGACTTCTTTTGAATGATTTGAGAGGAGATAAGAATGGTGAGATGCAAGATAGAAACAGTTTATCACTGCACTTTGTAGTGGTGCTGACAGGGTATCATTTCTCATGACATGCCATTTTGATTAGAAGTGGTAGCAGAATGTAAAGCTGCTGCATTTGTATACGTAAGCCTACTGACTGCTGAACAGCATGGAAAGAGTGTCACATTGAAGTGTCACTGGACACTAGGCTACATGAAGCTTCCAAGCACAGGATCTCTTTCCCTTCTGAAGGAAGAGAAAACATGTATTTAAGTTATGCTGTGATATTGTAAACTGTTTGATTCTTCTGTATTTTTTTCTTCCTTTGTCAAGTAGAAGGTATAATTTAGTACACTTTTGTCCATGTTTCAGGTGTGAGTATCTGCTTCGTGTAAAAGGAGGAGAGTTTGTAAGTTCAATTCAGGCCAGGTTTCCCCATCTCCTTGAACAGGTAAACTTTACTATTCTCTTACTTTGGTTTTCCCTTGTTGAATAGCGCTATGGGTTTTTTTGAGAGTTCAGTCCATCCTTCTGCCTCGTTTCTGCATATATTTCTACTAAGTTTCTGACATGATAAATGTTCCTCATGAGCACAAAAATGAAGCCAGTGCTGAACCACAGCTAATGGACTTGGACTAGTAGAGTTTAACTTGTACAAATTACTCATGGAAAGTATTATGAGGCCGTGAGCTCCTTCATATCAGGAGAGAGAAATTCTGATTATGTGAGTGTCAGTGAATAATGCAGATCAGTAATTGTTATTTCAGAAATTGTGCATGGACAGTTCTATCCATAACTCTTCTGACAAGAGTAAGCCAAACTTTTCTTCATGGAATTGGTCAGCAATAGCTTTATATTGATTGTATAGCTGTACAGATTTGCAGACTTGTGTATCCACATGTAAAATACTTAGCAGGTACCATTCAGATAAAAAGCTTAGTATGGTTGATGAGGGAGGAATGGGTTAAGAAGGAATGTGGGGGAAAATACTTAGTTATTAATGTAGTTCTGTTGTGTTCCACAGCTCTTGTCAACCTCTGATACGCCTGTAGATGAAAACATTGATCCCCCAAGTATGTATATTAAAGCATGTTTTAAATTTCCTCAGCAGTTTTCAAACTCAGTGATAGGCTATCCAAAGCTAACTTGCTTAACAATTCTTAGATTTTTCTTGAAAACAACAATATTATAAGGATTTTCTAGCTACTGATAAAAGTTAGGTAGACTCAGCATTATATGGACAAACTTCAGAAAAGAACCTTTAAGAGATTTTGTCTTTCGTTTTCCTTATTTTCATACTAACAGCTCATATTAAGATTTTTTGTTTTGAATGCTTGGCATCTGCTCTATTTGTGGGTTTTAGTTTCATGGTTTGGTTAAACAAGTCAATTTGGCATTTGTTAAATTGACCTGTGGTATTGAACTTGGTGGAACAGTTGCTGGAGGGATTCGTGACTGTGCAGTTATGCAACTCCATTTTCAGTCACGAAGCTAGAGGTACACGCTCTGAGGTGAGCAGTGGTGGTCAAGGAGAGGGTAGGAGAAGCTGATAAAGCAAAGTCTTTCTGAGCTGAACTCTAGTTACCGTGGAAATAAACTCCCAAAGGGTGAGTGGGTTATGCTATTGTAGTCCCTGCTGTTTGAGGACAATGAGTCAGAATCCCACATGTCTGGTGCTTAGTAAATTGAATGGAAAATTCTGATCAAGAGCTGGAATAGAGCAACTGTTTGTACTGTAAACTCTGAATTCTCGTTTCCCCCTTCAAGACATTTTTCAAGGCTGAAGTTAGAAATGACTAAGTATAAAAAAGCTGCTAGGACACAATGGAATTCTCTGTGGTTTCTCTGGATTGGATTATCCTAGATTTTAGTGAAGGTCTGACATGGATTGAACTTCATCATGGATTCAATCCAATTGCATCTAAGTAACTGGCTTCCATTTTTAGAACCAACAGCTTAAAAGAAGTCCGTTTAACCACTGAAACTTTTTAATGCTAGGTATTCCTGTATGTAGGCATGTGTGTAGATAATGTTGATGTCTGACTTCTGGAATGTATAGATATTTGTTATATTATACACTGTGATCTTTCTCTTTGATTAGTTATTCATTTTGAACCTGGAGAGAGTCATTCAGAAGATGCAATTATGATGAACACGCCTGTGGTTAAGGCTGCCTTGGAGATGGGATTCAGTAGAAGGCTAATAAAGCAAACAGTGCAAAGTAAAATCTTGGGCACTGGAGAAAACTACAAGACTGTTAATGATCTTGTGTCTGATCTGCTCACTGCTGAAGATGAGAAGAGGGCAGAGGAGAAAGAGAGACAATTTGAAGAAGTAGCATCAGGTATGCATAAGGCATGAGTAAAAGCCAAAGTGGTTTATATGACATAGTTTTTATAATTTATTTTATTCACTAAGTGATTTAGTTGAATTGCTAATAGGATCAGCTTCTGTAAAAGCATTGTCAGGATATCTGTATGGAACTAGCAGCCTGGGAATTGTTTCATTACCTTTCAGGAGAATGGTTCATACAGGTGCCAAGGGTTTAGAATCACACAATTCTCTCCACAGGAACAAAGACTTTTTTTAAAAAAATTTATGTGTCCATGTACTGCTGTTACTAAAATAAATGGAACCAAAATACTTTACTTGGCACACTCTGCTGATTTTTTTTCCAAATTTGCCTGCTCTTTAAGTTACTTGAATCAGTGAGCCATCATATCCACCTCCTAGAAGAGGTCATGAACTTTTACAAATTTAAATTCTGTAAGATGGGCAAAGGTCTGATTTTCTATGTCTGTTTCAACCATGTAGATCAGCTATTTAACAGTGTTTATTTGATGTGTCTTTAACATTTCCTGTTGTTTTAATACCGTATAAGTTTTGAAGCCTAAAGTCCTGTTTTTAAGTCAGTGAAGCAACAATGAAACTTCGCAATTATAAGTGGAATTAAGACTGCTTCTTTCCTACTTGCATGTTCTATCAAAAAAAGCATAGACAGATTAAGCCATTCAATCTTAAAGGAAACTATTTTTTGTTTTTTCTGATAGTCTATATATAAAAAATAAATCTCCTGAGTTTGGTCGTGCTGTACTTTTTGTTTTCCTGCACATAATTCTGTCAGACACCTCTTAGAAAAGCTTGATTCTGCCTATATCTCAGATGTGATTTTGACTGCCACTGACTGAAGTTAACCTGTTGGTTGTCAGTGAGTTAGCATTGGTGTTATGCAGAAGCGGTGTTTTTTCTTTGTGATTCTGCAGAGAATGTTAAATCTTGCTAGTATAAGTTTAGACAAGATCCCCTCAGATAATTTAGCCTAGAGGTGGGAACAGGAGATTTCATTGATGAAAAGTCTTCAGCTCAGAAGCTACTTGTATGTGGTTTTCTTAAGTCTGTTCTTTATGTGACTCTCACTAAAACTTACTGAGGTCTCTATTAATGATGTGTAGTAAGGGAACATTTCAAGTGGAGTTCAAAGAATATATCAATTCTTGTTAAGAAGCACAACTTGGAGTAGTGTATTTGTAACAAACACCTAATGTTCTTTGCATTCCAGATGATTTGTCCTTAATCCGGAAGAATCGAATGGCTTTATTCCAACGTTTAACATCTGTAATTCCAATCCTTGGGAGTTTACTATCAGCTAAAGTGATAACAGAACTCGAGCATGATGTTATTAAGCAGAAGACTCAGACACCATTGCAAGCAAGGGAACTGATAGATACAATTTTAGTGAAAGGAAATGAAGCAGCCAGCATATTCAGAAACTGTCTACGAGACTGTGACCCTATACTGTACAAAGATTTATTTGGTATGTCTGTGTTTTGTTGAGTTGTTTTTTTTTTTTTTTTTGGCTTTTTTCAGGATGTAAGTTTATAGAAGTAACCAGTGCTGTCATAGCAACCTAAAGATAAAAAAATAATCAGATGCTCTTTGCATATAGATTAGTCAAATGACTAGGATTTTTTTTTTTCTCTTATTTTAGTGGAGAAGAACATGAAATATGTTCCCACAGAAGATGTTTCAGGTACCTTAAACTCTATCTTCTTACTTTAAAGGGTATTGTGGAACACATAGTTAGCAACATAAAGAAAATTACTTTAAGAAATAGGTTCTGTGCTTTACCCTCTCTGTAATTCTGCTTTTGTAAGTTGGATTTACCTGAAAAAGTCAAGTGCATGTGCAGACTTGCAAGCAAGCCTCAGGTCTATTTGCTGTGAGCTATATCCTGTGCCTTACACGTGCTTTTGCCATACAGCAGGTAGAGCTTTCTGAAGCTTGACAATTCAGGTATATGCTGGACTTGATTGTGGTACAAGCTGTCATTCAGGCATTTGGTAAAGACTGGACAGTGAATAATAAGTTAGCGTTTCACAGCAGGTATCATCATCGCTGCTTTTCTGGAGTGGGTTATAGGTGTCCTAAGATCCAGCTTGACCAACAGCTGTGTAGATAAAAACTTCTCAGATGTGAGATTGAGTTTGCTCTCGTTCTTAGTCCTGCAGTTTAATATGTTACTAGACTGCAGAAAAATACACAAATGCGAGTACAGCTCACTTCCACCAGTCAGTCAGTGCTCTGTGCTTCTAATACCCAAGCAGGAAGAGTACAGCATTTGCTAAAATGTAAACATTGTTTGGTCTCAAGAACCACAGCTGGCCTCCAATCCCTGAGCTGTTTGTCATCCCACAGAAGTGGGAAGTACAGACTAATTCCTTGTATACCAGTTTCTGAGATCTGGAAAATATACTTATTTTTGCACTGCCATCTATATTTAGCGAATACAAATAGGGAGATAAAGGGTAAAATGAAACATGGCTGTATTCTAATTAGAATATATATATATATACATGCAGAATTCTTAAAGTTGCATAATTTTTTCCAGGTTTACCTATGGAAGAACAACTAAGAAGATTGCAAGAGGAAAGAACGTGTAAAGTTTGCATGGACAAAGAAGTTTCTATTGTTTTTATTCCATGTGGTCATTTAGTGGTGTGCAAAGAATGTGCACCATCTCTTAGAAAATGCCCTATTTGCAGGGGGACAATAAAGGGTACAGTTCGTACATTTCTTTCATAAAGAGGCAGACTTGCAAAATGTCTTTGTTCCTGTCATCCTCCAACTGCTGAAGCTTAAGTTAGGAGTGTTTTAAGAATGGAAAATTGTGATACAGAAGATTAATCAACTACCAAACACCATTATGTAATAGTAAGCTGTATCATTGTTATGAGTCCACTAGGTCTTCCTTGCCAAAGACTATTTCTGCTCATAAAACTAACTCGGTACTAAGGTGAGGTTTTTGTAGCTTTCCTTTCTGAGTAAGGAAAGCAGTTTCACTGGTATGCCTTTGTGTCACTCTGAATAAAAAACTTTCTGGTTGAGTTGCTAAAATGGAGCTTAGCATAACTCTTCTCATGAGTTTCCTCCATGTGGATGTGAGGAAATATATTAAGATTGCTGATAACTTCAGCTGTTGTTTTGGTTCTGTTTGGTCTTTCTTGGAAACTTGAGGAGAAAAGAGGCTAACTGTTGCAAGAACAGCAAGATTTTTTTAAAGGTTTGTTCATGTTTAGATACTTGTGTAATATGTATGATTAATAGTTTATATATGAAGACTGAATTAAAATATTTCTACTTCTCAAGTGAGTGCTTCCATTGTTGGTTTTTCTCTGTAGACTGCAGTGACTAGAATGCTGTCTTTTCTTGACAAAAGTTTGGGGTGGTTTGCCTGCTAAAGTATGATAAAAGTTAATTTTGTGTGTTGCTTTCATTTCTGAACAGGAGAGAAGCTTCTATGCTGCTTGGTGATTCTGTCTAGTAGAGTAGAGGGTTCAGATGCTTTTTTTAAAAAGCACACACACACCCCCAGCATCCTAAAAGGATCTGGTACTTCCTTCTGTCTTGATTTTTCAAAGGATAGAAATCCTGGCTGTGAATGGACTTCAGGACCTTAGAAATGAGGCAGAAGGTAGCTGTAGAGCAGTATAGCCTTTATGCTAGGGATTAAAATGTAAAAGCTACTTCTCTGTTTGGCACTTTATAGTGATTGTGCAATTAGGTAGGATCTTGCACCCCCATCTGAAGTCTTGGGTCTTGTTTTGCAAGCTGGTAGTCTAGGTGCTCCTGTTTCCTCACTGGTTGACTCTTACTTTAACCTTTTCTGAATTGCATTCCTAGCCTTGTCTAGTAGATACCTGCAGAGGGAAAGCGTTCATAGGTATTTCACAAAGATTTCATGTCAGTGGAACAGTGAAGAATAGAGCCACGATAACAGCATCAGATCCTGCAGTGGAGGTGTCACTTTGGCTGTAAGTCGGTTATCTTCAGTCATATCTTAGTTGCCCCTGTGTGGACCTCTCAATCTTTAGACCTGCCAGCAATAAGATGTTTTTAGCCAGTACTTCAGTGTCTTAAGCTCTGTAGCATGAAAATACAATTTCTTGGGAGTTTAAGGATGCCAATGTTAGCAAGTTGCAGGTGCTTTCATCACTTCATATGTGGCTTTAGCTATACATGTGTTATCTCTTATAAAAAGAGAGCTCCTCATATGTATGAAAGTGGTGAAGTGTATACATTAAAAAGAACTTGTGCAGGTACCTTGTGGTAACTTGTGACTCAGGATAGTGACCTACCCTGTGTAATGGTTCCCTAGTGTTTAGGGCAAGGCTTGCATTAAGTAGGGAAATGCTTGTCACTTGCAAATAAATTTCCATTCATACCTACAGAATGCTGTATGTTCAGCATTTGTATATCTTTCCTGTTCTACATCTGAGGTGTAATTTAATAAAAATCCCCTGCTAAGTCTGTGAAATAAACAGCTGGGTTTCCTGCTATAATCACCTGTCATCTTTGGAAATCTGTCCACAGAGTTTGAAGTTTAGACGGTGGGTGCAGTTAATGGTGTATTTCTAGCATAATTACAGCCACAGCACTGACGCAAATTTTTGGCTAGCTAAAAAGGACCAAAACATGTACTTTTATTTGAGGCTGCTCTGTTAGCATTCAGGATGTATTTGTGATGCCTGAGGGTATCTTGGGACCTGCAACATACCTGTCAGCCCTGGTTCATGAGTGGTTTGAATGTTGTGTGCAACTTCAAACAGCACTGGCTGCCTGCATCTAGGCATGTGAGCTGCTTTCTGAGAAGTGGAAGAAACTGATCTGGAAACTGCTGGGTAAAGTTGTTTGACCTAGATTTGACAGGAAGGCTAATCAAGGTTATGGTTTTCCACTACTCCCCACTGTAGTGATTGTGGTTACCCTTGATCTATAATGCTATATACGTGAGCAGTTACACTCTCCTCAGTAGTATTCCAAGAAAGCAGTAATAAAACTAATTCTGTAGCACATTGCTACAGAACCCTAGCAAAATGCTAAACCATGGAGGAGACCATCTGCACAGCGTTATGTTTAGAGAGGATCGAGTGACTTCTGCTATTTGTGAAGCAGCTCACCACGATCACACTTTGTTCTGTGTCCGCTTCCTTTGAAAGCGTTTTTCAGAGCTTTGACTGGGGTAAACAGCAGTGAACAGCCCCCCCTGCCCCCAGCTTCCTGCGCAGCTCTGCTGACCAAGCAGCTCAAGTTCTCCGATGTCAGCGGTCCAGGCCCATAGCTTGTCTTGAGCCTGGAGAATGTGTTTGTGTGGCTCGGGGGTGTAGAGGGTGGGAACTTTGATATGACTGGAGTTTAGTGGTAAGGCTTGTTGTAAGATGAAGATATATGGCATAGATGGATAGATTCACAGCTTCTATAAACGAGCAATTTCTCTATTGGAATGAAGCTTACGATATCTGGAAAGGATCTAGCCTGGAGCAGTTGCAGTTTCTGATACTGGTTTGAGATACTGCAAGGTACAGTGGCTTCCCAAGTAGCAGTTGTCTATTTTGTGAAGCAAGTGCCATGAAACTTTGTTGCAATTATGTAGCAGTTTCCTGCATTTTTTTTTTTTTTTGGTGTGTGTTTGTAACAATGTGTATCTTTCTCTTTTGTTTGCTTTTGAGCACTAACCAGGAAGCTTGGTGCTCTTCAGATTGAAGACAGCATCCACAAGTGTTCTGCCTGCCACCAGTCATTAAAACAGGGCACTGCTCTTATATGCTGAAATGAATGACCATATATGAAATATTTAGGAACTGCATTAGCATGACATCAAAAAAGTAATTCCTTAGTGTTGTGCTCTTGGCACTTGGTTATTTGCTATAGTCCTCACAAGACATCAGAAGAAAAGCACATGAAATTGCAGCATGTTCATTTGCCTTTAGTTCTGAGTTGTGGCAATTTTAGTGTAGTGAGGCTGGGGTATGCAGTATCATGTTTGGTGTTGCAGATAGACTGAACTTGCAAAGTCAGTTTTCTTGCTGTTAGTTATTCCTAAAGTGACACCCCCCTGCCCCCCTCCGGTATGTGAATTCAGGCAGGGGATGCATTCTGGACTGAAAAGGTATTCTCTGTTCTGTTGAACTACTTAACGTGGGATTTGTCACTCTTGATCCAGAGGTTACTAGTGCAGGGAATAAACTTCCTGAGACAAAAGTGAATCACCAGTCCTTTGTTTCTGGTTTTAACTGAGCATGTGATCACAACAGTTACTGATGTTCCAGCCCAGCTTCCTCACTGGTGGCTGCTGGCGTGGGACCCTTCCGGCCTGAGCCTGGGGTATTGCATGCATCCTGCACAAGGAAGAACAGAACTCGGAACAGCAGACCCTGCTGTGCTGTTTGCAAAAAAGAAAGAGGTGAGTTATTTTTTTTCTCTTTGTAGAGATCAAAATACGCTAGAACATAGCAGGAAGTTGTTTGCACAATAAGCAATGGCCTTGCAGTGGCCTTCACATTTAGTTCTGGCATGGTGAAATTTTTTAGGGAAAAGCTGGAAAACTTGCCAAAGGTTTAGAGCGTAGACTTGGTCAGAACAAAGATCTCCGTTTGCATCTGTATAGCTTGACCTACAGATGCTCTCTTCTTTTGGCAGTTAGAGAAGTGAAATACTCAGTATTTCAGAGTATAGGATATTAGTTAGGGTTGTGATTCACCCAAGGGAAAATAGCTTCAATTCTAAGGGATGAATAAAGTTTTTAGAAAAGATTGTCAAACATACAACAATCAAAAGAAGAAAGCACCCCATTTGTACAGACACTTGTTGCTTTTCTTTACAAACCCTGTCAAGGAAACTACGTTACAGTTTTTCTTCTAACATTTTAGAAGCACCCACCCACCTCAGAGCTGGCCAGATGTGTGACACCTTGGTTTCCAAACTGCTTTAAATTTGATGTGGTGGTCAGAACAATACACAAACTCAAAATTCTGAGTATCAGAATGAGAATATATTTCCTCTTGGTGTTCTAAAAGGACACATAGGAGCCTCTACAACTTGGAGTCCCTTTTATTCTTCCAATTTTCAGAGTTCCTGTACTGGATTTTTTAAGTATAGGGGTGACCTGACACCAAAGGATAAAATTAATCACTGATCCAATCTTCCAAGTAGTCTTTTTGTAGCAAAGCAAACACTAAATTCTAACGTAAGCTAAAGCTTAGACGTTGCAGGATCAACAACAGGAATTGGCAGTCCCTGTGTCTATGCTGTTTGTGAGAACTGCCAAGTGCAGATTCCCAAACTGATTTAACTTTCCTGTTCTTTAAGACTATCTCAGTCATACACAGGTCAGGACTCCCTCAGTGTTGTCTAGAGAACATATTTACAATCAGTACAGGTCCATTCTCATTCTGTCTGCTTCCATATCACAGCTAAATTCTTAACCTCTTACCTAGGCAATTTTCAGTCTCTGATGTCCTTCCACTTTGCTTCTGGTGATACTTTGTTGCTTATAGCTTTTTCAATAAAGCATGTTAAGAATGCTATGTATGTCTTCAGGGCAAAAACTGTGTCAGGAATGTGTAAGAGCTTTACCAGTCTCTGAAGAAAAAGGAAAAGTATGAAAGTAGATTTACAAAGGGATAATGTTCAAGTTACTGAGTATTATCACAGTAACATGACCTTGCTTTAATAGCTTTTTTAAATAAAAAGACAAATACAGCACTGTAGCATTTATGGACTGCTTTGAAGTCTTTGATGCAGGGCCCCATCAAAACAATTAAGCTAGAAGAGCTATAATGTGGTACTAGAATACAGGCTAAAGGAAGACAAAAAAGGAAGGACTTGTGGGAGGAAGGCAGAATGCTGCAGTCCTGAGATGTGCTCCTATGTTTGATCTTGATGCCCTTCAAATATGAAGGGCAAAAGTAACATTCATGATATCTGACCTAAGGTGGCTATAGTCTGTAGCCACTGGATGACGTCCCAAGCCTGTGGTATTTTAATATGAAGCACAAACCCATGAGTTTTAAGGATTAAAAATTAGTTATCTGGATTGTGTGAAAGAGCTGTAATCATCACCAGCATTCAAATGATTGGCTTAAAACATGATACTGTAAATGCAGTTCTGTGATGTGTCGCCAGAGGGGTTCCTAATCAAGACAGAACCATGAACTGCGTTGCTCAGCCATCAGTACTAGTAAGAAAACAGGCAGTCCTGTTGTGAGGATGAAATATAAACAGTTCAATCATCTTTACAATATTATTAAACTCAGTTAAGTAACAGCTGGCTGACTCTAGCATAAGTATATATAAAGAAGGGGAGGAGCTATTTATGCTAAAAATTTGTTGTATAAAATGAATATAAGCAGATCAAACTTATGATTGAATTTAGAATAACTAATCACCAGAGAAGTGAGTGGGAAGAGACTTCCACGAGGAACAGATTATATTTAGGAAGCATTTATTGGGTGGTTATCACTGGAATGCACTTCCTAGAGTTTTCACTTACTGTTGGAAAGCAAATGTAAAGTTAAAGGTAAGATTTATCAATTGCACCTCATATTGGATAACAGACAAACATCTGAAAGGAGGTCAGGTTTTATATTTGCACTGACACCTCTGAAATCTTAATCACATAATTTTGCTTTATTGTAGTAAAGAGATTACAAAATACATTAGAAATTACTGAGCTGGGCAAAAATGCATTAGGTCTGGTATTCTAGCATTTAAAAGTGTATATAGTGAACACTTCTTATTCAGTGGTTGTGACTGTGGAAAGGGTTGAGGGAATTATGAAACCATCTAATAAAATAAAAATCCAACTGAAATTGGTATAGTAGCTCCAAAGATTTAATTTTATTTATTCATCCGTACAACAGAGATGAGACAATCCTAGTAAATGAGTTGCACTTAATTGTCTTAATTTCTACAAAGTAAGGAAGTGCAGTTCTATGAAAGAATTGTTTCCAAACTCTTCAGGTTAAAACCAGAAGTTTTCCACCAAACAATGCAATTAAGAAAAATTCACAAAAGTTACTTCAAATCATTCTTCCCCCTGTACCTCAATCTCAGTAAAAAATGAAACAGCTCTGCTACTCCCATCTCAGGTGTGTGGCTATTAAGACTCCTCATTAACCACAGTTTGCTGGAGTCATCTGTGCCTCAAACACAACTGTTTTACTGCTCCTTGTGAAAAAGTAAAAAAAAAGCATCCATACAGCCACTTTAACATTGCATGTCAGAATAAACTATTGCTCAACAGAGGAATTAACCTGTGCCAGAGCTGCAATCTCACTTCCCCTGACGCGCTGGGCCCCAGCCCCCTCACAGGCCTGTATGCAGTTCCCGTGGTGACTCTCCTCAGCTCTCCCCACCTCCTGTCTGTGCCCTGCACCATGAACCAGGGCCAGCAGTACCCGGGGTGGGCCACGTCCCACCACACCAGCCCTCCTCACCGGGGAGAGGTGAGCCTGGGCAGGGCTGAAGGGTTATTCAGTGACTTAAGCAGACGCAGACCTGTGTTCCTTGATCCTTGCTCTAGTTTTCCTTACTCCAGTGTCAGTCAGGAGCCCATCTACTGAAGGCAGCAGGTTTACCTCAGTCCAAGTGCAGCAGTGATGTGGAAGCAGCATCAGCCATCTTGCACAGGACCCCCAGTGTATTAGGGCCTTAATCTAAAGGCCTTCTGAGAGATGCCCTGCTGCCTTCAGTGGGCTTTGACCAGACCTCTGTACATGTGTGCAGCAGTACTAAGTTCTGAAAACAGTTGTAAAAATGCAGATTATATTCTTCTAAAATGCTATCTTACAGATAGGTTCTCTGCGTTACTTGCAATGCTTATCAAATGCTGCTAAAACATTGCATACGGCTTTGTAGGAATAAAAACCACAAGTGATTGCTACATTCAACTTAAAAGACAATTTTTAAAAGTAATTTTTATATTTTATCATATTGATAATGGTGCAATTACTTTTTCCCATTTTAATTTTATCTTCAGTCGCACATGCTTCATTAGGACATGCTGGAAAAAAAGAAGCTATGCATCACAGTCTGTTTTCTTATAAGGACCCATTTAGAGAAAAGAGTTGTGGATGGCTATCTCCATTCCGTCCATGCTTCCTACTGGTTGTCTCATTGTATAACCTGTTAAGGAAAGTCTCTGCAGGCCACTGGTGAACTAATAACTGAAGTTTAAAGTACTCATTATCACCTTCTATACAGTTAGCAAACCATGTCCTTTCATAAACTAATAAAAATTAACCGAATTGTTCAAAATCAAAAATTGCTAAACTAAAGTTCACATCGAACTTCAAAATAAATACAATTTAATACAAAATACTAGGGAAAAAAACATTTCACTTGCAAAGCCCTATGCTTCATCTCAAATGTATCCTAATTAATGTATTATATCCATTATGGAACACACTGGATTTATGCAATATGTGAGAAATAATTGAACTTACAATTGCAATGATGCGATCCACTGTCCTAGCAATTAGCTACTTCAGAGACTTGTGTGTGTACCTTAAAATGACTCAATATGTGTGTTTCTTTAAATTTGGTTACAAATGCTGGGAAAAGAAAATACCCCCTCTACAAAGTGCTGTGTTCCTCTTCTTATTATAAAAACCAACGCAAAAAAAATCAGGATGTTTAAAGAGCTTCTCAACATTTGGCAGGGTCACACCCAAGACAGATTTAGAGACTGTGATCTTCTTTATGAAAGGAACTTTTCCAGAAGTAAGTTACAACAGCTGTGATAGGATGGGTTTCCAACACTGTCTTCCCTGAAGTCTCTAAATGATGGCATCATGTTCATCACTGTAACAGAAACACAGTAATTAACACTCTGCAGTACAAGCAACCATCAACACAAGGAACAGCCACACAGCTGCTGCTAAGAAGGTTATTTTGTGAACAGAGGCCATCTTGCTGGGAAGGACTAAGTGCACACTGATCTGGGAGTTACAGTCCTCTCCGAGCCAAGCTTAAAGTTAACAGAACAATTTCATTTTGTCAACATTCCTCCAGCTTCACCAGCCTTATTAACCTTTTGGCTTTCACATTTCATACAAGTACATAGTTTAGATCAGCTGTTGCTCAGGCATTTTTATCCTATCATACCTGTATCCAGTAGTAACAGCTAATCAAAGCCAGTTTACAAGCTCAGTGACAGGTTTCCTTTATTTTAAAGATACTGTTCATCTGAATTCTACAATACCAGCAGGGACTGGTTGAATCCCATGACCAGCAAGCAGGAGTCAGGATGGAGAGAAAAACACAAGGCCTAAACATTAGCATCCCAACAAGTCCAACAACATCACCTCACTTAAAACAAACTTCTCAACTGAGATGGATGATACTGAATAGGAGAGAGAAAAACAATGTAGTTTTAAGAATTTCCAGTTCTTGAACTAAATGTGGGACTAGGAGCAAAGCTGGAAGCCTGAGTAGAGCTGAGTATAAATGGCAAATGAGATGGTACAATTTTGACTGAACTAACAAAAGGGGTGAGATACAAGATAAAGTCAAAATCATAGGTATCTGACTGGTTCTCTGCTCTCAGAAATGAATGCTGCAGAGGAAATGAGTAGCTCCACAAAGAACCATACCTAAGACAAGACTGGACCTACTACCTCCTGTCCCCCAATCTGATATCATAAAGGCGAGACATCCGTTGCCTGGAAGAAGTTGGTGGCAGAGAATCTGCTTAAATCAGTGTTTTTCAACTTGTAGTCTACAGATGGTCCAAATCCCACAGACAACTTCTACAAGGTCTTTACAAAAATGACTAAGAAAAGCAAGCTTACTCTCAATAGGCTTGTATTTACTGTACAGCACCTACGCTCTATGGGGAAAATATCAGCAGCCTTCAGCTCAAGGAAGGTTGAAAGTCACTGGTGTACACAGAGTAAACAAGTGACTTTAGGTGAGATCTCACCTATGCCTTTTAATATCCACAACAGCACGGACTTCTTTATCTAAGACTCTTAGATGCCCTCACAGTAAGTGAATACAAAAACACATGGATAAGCTGATTCATCTGACAGATTTACCCTACTTTAGGGTAATATAAATAAAATGAAATTACTAGTTCAGATGCAGATGCCTGTATTCAGTTAAATGAATTCTACTTCTCATTTCACGGACTTGTGTAAAGTACTTAAAGCAGGTTCAGTGCATACAATTTTTATAGACAGGTTTCTGGAGTTGAGAAAAAGATTGCACAGAAAACTAAATATTAGAAATCAACCAGTTCGCCTGCCTATATTGCAAAGTGGGGCTAAAGTTTTGAGTTCATATATTGACAACAATCAAATATTTAAAAATGTGAATAATGACCATATTGCCTTTGAATGTTGTCTATGACAATAAATGAATCAATTCAACAGTGGTGGCTTAAGAATGTGGAATATTAGATGTCTGGCTTTAAAAGTGGCTGCTCAAAGTAGACTTGAAGGTACATAAAAGGTGATACAAAAGAGAGATGGTAACAGAGTTCCAACATGACATCATATAGGTAATAGAAAACAGAGCTACTACAAAAAAATGGCAAGAAAACATCGAAGAGTGAAGAGACAAATAGAGTCTAGGAGAAAGTGTCAGGAAGAACCAGAAGTCTTGCAAATTGCAGCAAACATTTCAAGGGGATGTTAGCTATTCATGGAACAGCTAAAGGATAAGGATCCTTTAAAAAAACCCAAGATGATTTTATATAATAGATCAGAGAAAAAACCCATACAAAAGAGAGGCATAATAATGAGGAATAGCTGAAGTGGTGAAATACAAAGCATTCCAGTTAAACCTCTTAACGATATTAATATAAGACACATTAAACAAATATATGTATCAGAGTTCATTCTCCTTGTTTTGTTTATCCTTGTTCCCCTCAAGGAAGTAATAAGCTGACAAGGGACAATCCCCTGGAAACTTACATGGTTCTGTACTGAATGCCTCTTCTAGCGTGATAGGTTTTGCATCCGATGTAGAGAATAACTAGGACTCCAAGTGTCAGCACAATGCCACCTACAAAGCTGCCCACATCAAATCTGGAGGTTTTGGCTACAACAGCCTCAGATTTTGATGTGGCTGAAAAGAAGGAAACAAAAGGCACTTTTTACAGAGCTTGAAAAATTTTGTTTTGAGAGACTCCTCTATATCCTGCCCTCCCCACTGACATATCTTCTAAAGACCCAGTTAGATAAATTTACCATAGATCAACTGGCAAGAAACCTGCTAATCACACTGAAACCTAGAGCTCCATTTCTAAGTGCCAGATTCTGGTGATGCAGCAGATGATCTAACTGCTTCACGTCTCTGACTCCACCTCCCTTGCTCCCCTCCTTTCACACATGCAGATCCTGCCCTTCTTAGGCCAGTTCTAGTGTTTTTCATACCCTCCATGAGCTAATTTAACTCACTAAGCTGACCTGAAATTAACCCAAGCAGAAAAAGAAGTTGCTTTTAGTCAGACAAACATTAAGTCAGCCTGCAGATTGGTCCAACAACCACCACGTCAGCTGATATAGTTACATTGTGGGAGTAAAATACTTTTGGTGGCAATTGGCTGCTGGATGGCTTTACCTTGTCTCATGGAATTATACCATCACTCTCCGAGTGAGATCAGCTCTGCAGCCCAACACAAATATTGACACAGATAACATGACCTCAGATAAGCTACAGCAGTTTCCACGTGAAAACTGGTTTTATCTGCTACAAACTCTCACCAAAAGACCCAGTCTGTGCCTATCTCTATTTGTACTCACCACAGGGAGTGTTATGTGGCCAACTAAAAGTTCTGCTGATGACAGCTTCACCTACCCAATAATGCTTCACTGACATGTGAGCAACCCGGATCTGTTTTGAAGTGGAAGCATGAAGTGGTGTGAACAAGCAGCTAATGGCAAGGAAATACTGAATTCTACATTCACTGTTTTTGTATTAAAGGGTACTGTTAAACTGTATTTGACAACTTTTACATAAAGTGTGACTCATTAATAGTCATACTCTATCCTCCATTAAGAATGAAATCCATTACATTTCTACAAATGTAGCTGACTGAACTCAGTATTTCTACCAAGCCAGTACTTATGTTGAGCTACAGGTCAGCTGTGAAAAAGGAAATATGAGAAATGTGTTCAAGTAAGCTGTAGAAGAGAGAGCTGAACAAATACAGAAGTTGTATTCAAAAGCCAGGCTTTTTCCTATCATTGCTCATTTCCTTGCTGGTGGCTGCTGATTCAGACCACTTGTGTTTTAGGCTTTTTTCCCCTAAATATGTCAGGTCTCTCAGGTTAAGTGAAGCCTTATTTAAGTAAGTGGAGTGCTCAGAGCAACATTATTATAGCCAACTGAATAATAAAACCACACCTTACTCTCGTTTTTCAGTATGCAAATACCTTTTTTGTTATACTACTGTACAATTGTAGAATTTTTAGTTTTACAATACATGACAACATGTATACAAGCCTTTATGAGGTTTCTGAAATATGAACTCACGTGTTACAGAAGTCTTGGAAGTGGTGGCCACTGTAATATTGAGTTGTGATGATGTGACTGATGAAGCTGTGGTGGATCTTGTTATCTGGCTGGTTTTGGTAGGCTGAGTCATCAAGGTGACAGACACAGTGGTGTTGGTGGGCTGACTGGTACTGGTCAGATGAGTAGTACTGGTAGATGTACCTGGGAAATTTTTATTTGTGATATCACACAGAAAAACACATAAAAATAACAAATGCTATCTTATTCAAGGAGTATACAGTCTATCATGCCCAAATAGAATGACAGAGTAACAATGAAAATGCCACTGCATGGATACCCAGGCTTGCATACAGTCTCTTCCCCTATGCATTTCCTTTGGAAATACTCAACTTCTGATTTGTTAGGCTCAAGGTCAAGAATGGTTTAAAGGAAAGGCTGTAAAGAAAATCTGGATATTATCTGATAACTTTTAAAAGGGCCAATGATTTTTGGATAACACTATCCAATTCCATAAAATCACATCTAACTTACAGTATTTTAAAATGTGATAAAATTCTGAATCAAGAAAAACTTTCCAATCGAAGTGCCCAACTTTTCAGACAACTAACTTTCCTGATAAGAACGGGTTTTTGCACGCCACGCCATGCCAATTTTAGCAATGATTTAATCTCTAATTTGGTTTTGAATGAAACACTGGCTTTACTAAGGCTGCATGTATATTAAACTTACCAGAGAGAATTCTGTATGTGTGTTAAGGTTCAAAAGGTTTTCCACACCTGATAGAAGTTTGACTAAAGTAAATCTGCTGGCTTGTATCATTTATTTAGCGGTGAGCTGTCTTGCCAAAGGTTAAAACAAAGACTGAAATGCTGTTTCACAAGTTTAATTGACAGTTAACATCACCTAACTTTTACTCTGCTTTAACTAACACTTCCCCTTCCCTCCTCAGAAAGAACTGTTCTGAATAAAAATACCATGAAGAAAATTCAAGAATAGAGATTGATATTTATAGCAAAATCCTTAGAACCTTAGACAGCTAGAAGGATCTTAAGAATAATTACTTATTTTTCTAAGAAGGTACTAACAAGAAACATGAGCCTGTTATGCAACTAACATTTCTCTAAGCAGACAATAAGAAGCAAATAGCTTCTACGTATGAAGGAATTTTAAGGAGAAAAATCTCCCTTTGCAGCTGTCTACTTTTGTATTATTTCTATAACCTCACACAAGCTGGGTTCATTTTAAATACCACAAAAGCTTTTCATCATGGACATTAAAATGCCTAGTTATACCCATGTTTTCTTGAAATTGTCTAAAACTAGAACTGAAGAATAGGTAGTTTCCTCTCAATTCCGCAGCAAACTTGGTATTCAATTTCTATGTTTTTTATGCAGGATCTAAAATACTTCTACAGAACAATCTTCCTGTAAATGTGTTTTAAAATGTGAGTAGCTACACACAGAATAGTGTCTTTGCTAAGACTTAAGTATCACTGCTTCCAGTACAGATGTGAACATTAAAAACTTAAAAAACCCCAATATGACAGTGTAAGTATTCAGAAAGAAACTGGCCTACACAACATTTTTCTGAGACATTTAACATTAAAACTACTGAAACGGCCCAATACAGTCCCCATAGTGAATGTTACTTATTTTCCTCTTCTTTGATGTTATAATTGTATTGTGCCATAACCCTAGGAAACACTTTGAAATGAGCATTCATTGAGATGGAACAGTTGGAGTACTATATTCATGTGCTTACCTTGTTACAATTAGGAAATTCAGTTCCTCTATGAAGCATGTGTAAAATACATCAGATAAAATTCAGGGCACATTTTAATACTGACAGGTAAACTCCCCAAAGGCACAATGATCTATAAATATCAAATGGTTCCCTCATTGTAGGAAATAAGCAAGGAAATGTATATATGGAAATCATCTACAATTATATGATATGAAACCACACTTGGTAATTGCATTCCTAATATAAAAGATACCAAAAGACAAATCCGAATGCAAATGTCAACCAGTCAGTTTTCTGTGGTGTTTTTTGGTTTTTATTTTTGAGCTATGATTTCTGAGTGTCAAACTGGCTTGTGTTTCTGAGCAATACAATGGCTAATTGTTCCACGCGTAACATTATTAAACAATGTTTCACAACGATAGTACTTATTCCACAGGCATTAAATTACCCTACAGAAAACCAGAGTCAGCACAAAAAATATCCAAGAAGCTATCAGGAAGAATTTCAGCAACTTTGCACATTACTTCTTCCCCCCTCTCTTTCCTACTAGTTATCCTTTTTTCTTACTTTATCAAGATCACAGAACTTGGTGGTGTAGCATTAAGAGTAAAATCTGGTTAATCTCCTACAGACTTATCTTTCATGATATTTAGCATCAGTCATTTCAAAACATCAGTGGGAGGCTATCTGAGGCAGCTGGACAATTTGGGAAGCTGACATGAATTGGGCACCAATCTGTTCTTCTGTGTCTTTGAAAAATCCTACCCGTACTATTTTACCAATAGAGTTAAGATGAAAGAACATTTGCTAACAACATCTGTCCTTTTATCTTTTATTTCTCTAATTACTTTTCCCCCAAAAGACCAGCTGGTCTTCATCGAACATCACACTAAACAAACCCAGACTGCCCAAGTTAATTTTTATTATTTAAAAAGTATGCATGCCAGTAATATAGTTCAGGTTTATGATGCTTTATTATTAAGAGAGAAACAAGTATTTTACTTTGTATGCTACCTGTGTTTAAATATTAAATAGCTATGCTATATCCATCAAACTATATACATAGTGTAAAGGTAAGAATTCTTAGCTGCATGCACCACTCTCTTAGTGTTCTAACTCAACAAGAATGAACACAGCAACTCAAATTGCATAAGCATCATGCTAAGATACAAAATTATTATTATTGAATGCTCTTCCTAAAATAAATACTCTCCTTTGCATGGAAAATGATTGAATGAAGCAGACTTGCAGACTTTTGCTTCTGCCATTAAAAGTTCCCCTTCCCCCCCCCCCCCCCCCAAAAAAAAAAGGCAGGGACTTTAGGTAAAATTAAGTACATTTATCCAGTAGTCTTTATCCTGAAGAGATTGAGACGGATAATCAAAATGAAAGAACACTGTCTTAAAATCTATGAAGTTTCTAACAGAAAAAAAAAAAAAAAAAAGAGAAGGATGTGAATCATAAACCATGTGAAGCAAAGCACAGCTGTCTGTTAGATTTGTATTGTGCTTAACAGTAAAGGGCTCAGGCCTCTTTTTACTATCACTATCCACACAGTAAAGCTCAGACCTCTGCAATCAACCCACAGGCAGGGTTGGAGCACACTGTGGGTGACACACCTGTGGTTAACAATGGCTTTACACAGGGGAAGGCCCTCGGGCAACAAGGGGATTACAAAAATCTCTCCACTTGCCAAATTAGACATGTTTAAACTGGTACACTGCAGGCAATGCGATGAGACACTGCACCACTTCCTTGCTGTGAAAAGTAAGGTCTTTGCAGAGATTTTTTTTTTTCCTGGTGAGTATTTTATTCTTAAATGACTAACAAGCAACTTCTGAGTGTGGTAGCTCAGAGGTTATCTGGAGGCTACAGAGACACAAAGTGAGAGTTGTACTGGAAATGGAATGATATAGCTGGGACCTTATAATAAGCATAAAACTCCACAAATACACAAAATATCTCAGGGTAGGCACAGTATTTCTGCCCTGCTTTCACATGACTTAGCACAAAGGGGACCCAGTTCATGCATAGAACTAGCTTCTATCAGATACAACCTTTTATCTGTGCATCACAGACAGAACAACTGCACGATATTAATTCTTATCCAGTCTTTGCTGATGTGGTAAAATGATCTTCCAGAAGATACTTTTGATTTCCTTTTTTAATAATCTCACATTGACACTGCCAACAGTTGGAACACTACAAATACAAGTGGATGAACTGTTCGTCTCCCAGGTTAGATATCTGCTTTCAAACTCTACTAGTTGATCTAATACTGCTATTTCTTCTTTCTACAGAGACGTGTTTTGTAATCATGTTACTTATGTTGGAACCTCATGACTGCAACACTGCTGCCTTGGGAAATCACTCTTACCTACAGTTCTTTTGCCAGGTTGTGAAAGGAAAGACGGTAATGCTAGAAGAACGCAAAAGTAACCCTGACAGATTGTCCCAGATCTGCTACTCATATCTCACTGAACTCCACTGTTTGGTGCTATGAGCTCTATAAGGACTATTTTCTATGGTATAAGGTACCATGACTCTTACCTAAAAGGAAATGGGGTCTTACTCTTGAAACTCAAGCTCACAGGACTTCATTATACCCAAATCTATTTTCTGTGAAATAACATTAAACAGATATGCACCATTTGCACAACAACACACTCATCTTTACTCCATGAAAATGGAAGATGTTTGCTTAGAGACAAAGAATGAACATCAAGAAGAACTGAAAGAAGTTGATCTTTTTAAAGTTTTATTTTGGTTCCTGTTTTTCAATGGCACCACAAATGTCATTGCTTCTACTGGTGAAGCACGCTACCTAAACTTGAAAACCAATATAGCCTCATTTCAGAGTTGTTTTACATGTTGCCTCCCAGCTCTAAAATGAAAATGCCTCTCTCAAATACCCACTTTTGATGGATATTTCTTTAGAATTTGGTATGACCTGGGGTAGGTTTGGAGATAGCTTCTAGGATCATAGAAATGGACAGAAGAACAGATACGTACCTACTGTAGATGTTGTTGTAGATTGTGTGGATGATGTAACAGTGAGATTGGATGAACTGCTATTGTCTTCAAGGAAAAAATAAAACAAGAAATATTATTACTTTTCATTTTAACATACTATAATTAAAGTACCCACAATACAATAGTCTCCTCAGGGTATCTGTGTTTGCAGGCTACAAGTAGGAATAATGCAGCGAGTATCCCATCCCAAAGCAGATGGTTTTATTCTTCTGCAAAATGTTTTCAGATCTCAGTGACACAGAAGTGTCCACATGGTCTGAATCTGAATTCTTTACATCTCCTCTTTTTGCTCTCTTTCACTTCTGTGTCATGCTTGATGCCAGTTGCTGTTATCAGCTGTACTGTCACTGACCTTCTTGACCTACTTTAGCACCTGTTTTTTTTTTTTTTTTCTTCTAGTTTTTATTCCTCTATTTCAGTTCTGTTTCCTGTCCCTCAATCTTTTCTTTCATTTTGCTGCATCTCTGTTACAAAAGGGGCTCATGTTAGGAACTTGCTGTAGTGGTGTCAAGTAGGGACAGACCAACACCCTGTGAAACATCTTTCTGTGGGTTTATGTTCTCTCTACACAAACAGGGTCCTAAGAGTGTACCAGTTTCCAAAGACTTAAAATCTAAATGATGTTTTGTTCTTAATGGTTTTGTCCTTTCCTCCTTTCTTTCAATTCTACTTTTCCAGTTCTCCTTTTTTTTTTTTTTTTCCCCCCCTTCCTACTCATTTTACTTGTAGGTTCTCAGGCACCCTCCCACTCTCACTTCTGTCCTCATTGCTGCATCCCTCTTCAATGTCTCTTACAGGTTAACTGTCTCTTCCTCCTGCAAAAATCTACCAGGCTGTTCAGTAACTCCCGCTCCTGGAAGCATCACTGCCTATCCTTCCCTCCCTTCTTTCTGCACTGTCTACACCCATTCCATGACTCTTCTTTTCTCTGAAGTAACTGATCCTTTACAGCATCCTCCCACATTGCTAGTGTTATGCACCTTGCATATATCACTATCAGCACTCTTCAGTATGGCTGGAAAACTTAGTGCATAACCTCAGAGATGATGAGAATAACAACACAGTTACCAGAATCAAGAAGCAGGCCTATTTCCTTTGAACAGATCTGCTGTTCTTACCACTGGAAAAAGTCTAGACTAAAACAGTTTTGTCAGCTCTCTTTGCAATTGCATACATGTTATAAGCAAGATCAGGTTTAAGAAAAATGCAACAAATTTACACTTTCATACCACCTACCAAAAAGGGGGAAAAAGAAATTACAGAGGGAACTACTTTGCCTTTTCTTTGGTATAATCACAGCCAGCTAGCTCCACCATTGCATACTCTGCACACAAGCCTTATACTGACATACCTGGGATATTAAGTTGCAGATTTAATTGCCTTTGAGAAACAGTCTATGATTGTACAATTACAAACACATTCCACCTTGGATATGTTGGCTCTTATACCAGAGTAAGCCATGGATATGCCTGGGGCTAAACCTTTCCCCCACTGGCCCAGCACTGTAACCAGAACACAGCTTTGGGTTTCCCCCAAGTTCTGAGGGCTTACTTGTGCAACCCTGAGAACACGCCTGGATGTGGACTGCATGCTCATACAGGTGAACAGCAGCCACGTACACTGCCTGGAATTTGGGTGTGAGTCAGTGATGCAATTAATTTAAGATAGAGTGAGTCAATGAGCAGAGTACTGGCTATACATCCCACTTGTTGGCCAACAGCAAATGAGATGAGCTAAGTAGTACAGGGCAAAAATGACTCAAGGAATATGCCTTTTGCATGGCACATGCTTAAAGGTGTACAGCTTAACATAGTGAAAATGAGATTACACAATGAAATAAATGTGTACTTCCTCAAGCAGGAAGGACCTAGAATTCATTTTGACATTAAGTATCAAATTAAAAAGTGCCTTGCCTTTTTTAAAGAGCACTGAATTCTAGCCTAGCAGACTTCTTGGTTCTCTTTTTAACCGAAAATTGATGTTGGTAGGTCTTCCTAGCTCCATACATAAATTTTTCCCATTTTATTTCTCCTCTCTGTTGCTCTGGGGTACCTAAGGATATAAGGATTGAGTTGTGTTCTACTGTTCCTCTTAAATATCATTAGTTGTCCTGGAATAGATGCAACAGAGTACCTCCTTTCTGCCCTACAGCTGTTCATGATTCAATAAAATAAAAAGGGCCAACAATTACACGACAGTTTAAAGCATATAATAATACATATTGCTTTTCTTGATGCTACTGAGGAACAGCAACAGAAATGCCAAGAGCATTGCATTGCAACTTACAGTATGGAGACATAGTAAATCGTGTAGTACTGATGGAGTTGTTGATCTCTTCATTTCCTACATAAAAAACAACAATAATAAGATAGCTTTAGATGCTTTATTACTAAGAAGTGAAAAAAAAAAAGTACAGCATCTGTCACTTGCTTTGGGCATATAAATGGCTAAACTACCACGGACAGGAGTTAGGTATAATGATGATATAAAAGCATGGTACCACAACAGCCTGCTCTTAGCACATTAAAAATGACAGCATTTGCACTACCCAACCAGCAAATGAACTGCAATTCCTTCCCATCCTCAGTTTTATCTTCCCCATCATCACCATCCCAATTTCTCTTCTTCCTTGAGATGAAAAGAAACTGAGAGATAGAAAATCAGGCACCTTCCTTCAGTAATAATATATGACCTGCATCACCTACAACAGAAGGAAAAGAACTTCTCACATAAATCTTTCCTATAAAGTCTGCAAGGCAGATGGGCACTTGCTCTGCCCCTACCATGGTGAAACAAAAAGGTTGCATTACTTAGTTTGGGACTAACAGCAAGTTAATGCATCCACTGAGCATTTGGCAGGTGGGGAATGGGACAGAGAAGGATCACACCTCTGGTGAAATATCACCATACCCTAAAGACTAACTGAGGCCTGATTACTCTGTCCTCAGGCCTGGTCTACAAACAAGTGGTAAAATTTAAAGAGGAACTGCACAGAATTAAAAGTCTGGCATTCACATGCATGCAAGAGGATCAGTTGTGGATTCCGCCTTTGATAAGTAGAGTTTAGTTTTGATTACTTATAACAATATTCTGCTAAAGGCAAACAACCTCAGCTAAGCATCTTAGAAATAGTGCATTTTCTTAGTAGTAACAAGACTTTACTGAAGATCTCAGAATGGTAAAGTTTGCAAATACAAATGGCAAACCACTCATTATATCTTACGCCTACAATATCAAGATTGAGGACAGCACTGTAAGATATGCTAGACTGTTTAATTAGGGAGCTTAGGGAGACCAAACAAAAAAGTAGAATGGGAGACCACTAAACTTCCCCAGGAAGGATGGACCCTATCTTGCGGAAAGTGGTCTACATCAGAGCTAGTCTCCCTGCATTTAACAATAATCTGAGGAAGCTAACCCAACAGAAAACTGACATTAACTCCCTTCCCAACTGCACACAATGTATTTTGCTGCCTTAACCAGCAGAATGGGCTCCCTGTAGGAAGAAAGAGAGGGGCAGGAACCAGAGGTGGAAGGGAAGACAGGACTGTAGTAGTCCTAGTTCAGATCAGCTTGGACCACACACCTTAAAAGACATCAAGGACCGTATCCAGCTTAAAAGATACAACTTTTTTTTCTTCCTCCCCCAAAAACCCCCAAACATTGATACGTTTCTTAATTTGGATCACAAGCAGTTGCTCCGGAATAAAAATACTTCTTAATATGGGGCACTGCATAAGCATATGCCACATTGGATCACGTGGCAGTGAATGGGACGGGTGAGAAAAAGGAAATCTTAAAATGATACTATTCCCAAACTGTTCTCTATCCTCAGACTGTGGGTTTGGATTTGAAGTTGTGTGTACCACTGCAGGGATAGCAGGAAAAACTCCTGGGTTAAGGGGAAAAGCAACACACGCTTTCATGCAGTGATGGCTCTAACAATGAGGGTTTCTGGCCTTCAGCAGGGAGCAGAAGGGCAAGGATTAGAAGTCTGCAGTGACCCAGGTGCAGATGTGAGTACAGGAAGTGGGGAGAAAGCCAGCAGCCAACTGCAGCGGGGAAGGTCCTGTGCATGAGCAGAGGTAAAGCTCCTTGGGCCACAGGATTAGTTGCAATATTGGGCCTACAAATCTTGAAGAGAGAAACTATGTGCTGATGCTTGTTCCCACCATGATCTAGAGGAGAGAGATGGGGGGAAAAAAAAAAGAAGGATATCCACATTCATTCTTAATGATGAAACGGAACCAAACCAAGGATGTACCCAACTAAAAACAACACACCAAAGCACCGCATACTGAAAAGAGGCAGAGAAAGTGGATCATCAACATTTTTGTCAGACAACTTTGTCTTCCTTTTGTTTTGCTTAAAGTCAGGCACAGACGCAGTTGAAAACATAACTGCTTGTGGCTGGCTGGGGTATATCTGAAGGCAAGTGTGCTTCCTGTGAAACTCTACAGCACAGTTTGGTATGCCGAGCACTTCCAGGGCCTCTCGTGGTTTTGTTGCTCTAGTTTGTAAGAAGTCATGGGTTGGAGACAATCTGGGTAAGCAAACTTTCAAATGGGCAAAATCAGGCCAGTTCTTCCAGCTTTACAGCTGGAAATCGGCTTCCAGAAGTGGCATTCAGACACAGGAGCTGATGATACGGGTTTGTGCTAACCACATAGATAAATGCAGGGTAAATGATAGGGATAGCTCCGATACTTGTTGAAAATGAACAGGACAAGATTTTTAATGGACTTGATTTCGCCAGATCCTGCAAAAATCACCACAGTGGATAACAACCATGAACCTTTAATGTTAAGAATCTGTACCCTCCAGATCAGTCATGTACCAAATTACTATTCTCTGCAGATGAAGCCTGGTAGAAGAACCATACACTGAGTGGCACTTACTCATTCAATTCCCTGCATGTGACAAAGGTCAATTTGCTCATTCCCGCATTCACATGTAAGATAAACACATTTCTAAGGACTTGCAGGCTTTGTGTCTAGTCTAGCTAAACCTCATGCTGCAGAAAAATGTTGGTATATAAACGTTTGTACTAAGCACAATTTTACACATTCATTTTGGGGACATTTCAAGCCATATATAAAGTTCTATCTGGGCATTTTGTCTTTTCAAGTTTGACGTAGAGCAGGTAAGTAGGAGAGTTTTATGCCCAAACCATTCCACTTCTGTTGGTTTAAAAACCAAAAAGTACAGCAGCATTCACAATGTACAGTCCATCAGAAAGATCTCTGACTTGCCCAGTAACCTCTAAGCAATCCAAATGAGTAACAGTTGAGGTGCTGGAATGGTTAAAGCTGAGAGGGTAGAGCAACAACATGAATATAACCATCCCCTAGACAGTCTCCACCATCAGGATACTCATTCTTCTCAGTTGAAATGGATGAAACTCAAGTTCTGGAGATTAAAACAAAAACAGCCCCCTGACACCAAATCTACCGTAACATCTGTAAGGCAATTTTGACAAACCAGAAATTCAAATCCCTGCTATCTGGAAACTGTGTTTCTTTTCCCTTTGACTCAAGAAGGTCTTTTGGTACCTATTTTTGAAATGGCATTCTTGACCTACCAAGAAGGTAGGCCATCCTGAGACAGAGGTCAGGCAGGATTATCTCAGCAACTTTTTGGACACGTCCTCATGCCTTAACATTGTAAAATTACCTCAGTCTTGCAAAGGAAAGTGTAAACACCATTGCATAGATGCTTAAGAAAACAACATGGACCTAAGTAACCGATTCTCAACCCCGGTCAATTTGAGGCTGAAAAACTACAACACCTTTTGCTGTCACCTAAGAATCTAAGAGATTTAAGGAGATACACTGAAATAAAAATGCCATGCCTGTTTTCAGGTCTGGAGGCCGCTGCTTATTTTTTGTACTGAGAATAGTTTTGTAGACAGGTAAGCTCTTGGAAGATGTTGTGAGCTATCTTTTCTGAACAGAGCAGGAGGAAGCAGGTGGGGGCACTTTCCTGCCACAGTGCGTGGATGCTCCTTGCTCAGATATCAGGAAGCCAGCTGGATTTTACATAATAATGGGAAGGATTTTTCCTAAACTGTAACATTTTGGTGATGTTTCTTCCACTGACTTGATTGACACATAAACTTTCCAGCAGAGTAAAAGAACAGCACTATATTGAAATAACCAGCCTGCCCAAAAATCTCAACTGGAGTATGGACAAATCTACTGTTATTTTTACTTTTTGCAAATCATAGTATTTGATGGGTTTCACACTTTCTCTGGTAGTGTTCATCAGTGAATCACAAACGTTTGCTGAAACCAACACAAACGTCAGCAGTAGTTTCTGGAAGTTTCTGAGTAAGTGGGCAGAAAAAAAGATACTTCAATAGATACATTAGACTGAGCTTTAAAAGAGCAGAACTTCTCTCAGCATACTGTAAATGGAGTCTAGACAACAGATTCATATATAGAGGAAAGACTACATTTGACTGTCAAAAGTTAGATGAGATCATCCCTGCCCCAGGAGACAGCACTGACTCTACACTGAGTTAAACCAGCATATGCACTCAGGAAGCAGCATGATAAAAGACCATTCAGGCCAATCTTATATCAAATAAAATGACAATCTGTCATTGTAACATGAACATCATAAGATCGTGGCAAAGCAGTAAAGAGGTTACTGGTAAACTTCTTCAAAAAAACCTTGCTTTTTTTTAGAGGGGCAATTATAAAGTTGTTTACGTTACTTATTTTACTTTTTCTGTATCAATTTATATTATAGCTTCACTAGATTAAACAACAGCATATTAACAATGCTCGATTGACTGATATTCCTCAACATTATTTAAAGCAGATTAATTCTGATACCTATCTTTTGGCTTCTTTGGAAAATTGTGGGGCACTCAACAGGGCATTTCAGTCTTCTGAAAAGACAACTCTGGCAGCTTGGACTTTTGTACCTCTCATTTTATTTGAGTGCATGTTGACGATAATCCCCTGAAACTGGTCTTCTACTGCCAGAGTTGAAGCACAAAAAAACAGGCGGCTGTGCATTTACTAGAATGGGCCGTTAAAAAGAGGCATTGCTGCAAGCGCCTGACAAAAACGCCACAAAACACACCAATCTCTGACCTAACAGCAGAGCCACAATGACCCCAAAGCTATTACAAGCCGCTCGCCACACTTACAGCACGCCTCTGAGACCGGCAGCAAGACGGGAAACGAAAGCGCTTCCTCCCCGCCTGGCCCTGCCGGGGGCGCCGCGGCTGCCCCGGCCCCCCCACGACCCGCTCGGCAGGACCCCCGCCGCGGGCGGGCCGCCGCGGCGGGTTCGGGCGCACCCCGCCGTGCCCCACGCCGCCTCCCCGGTGCGGCGGGGGAGCGGGGCCGGGCGCTTGCGCACCCCTCGTCCAGCTCCTCACCCGCTGCTTGTGTCACCGGCCCGCCGCGGAGAAACCGCCCGCGCGGGCTGTGCAGCCTCAGCTCTCCTTCGAGCAAGGCGCAAACCCAGCGGGCCGCCCGGCTTCCCCGCAGCCCGAGCGAAGGGGCACCCGCAACCCCGGCGCCGCCCGGGTCCGCCCGGCGGGGGTGTCGCAGCAGCCGCCGGGCACCGCGGCCCGCTGTTTCCCGTCCCCGCCCGCGGCCGCTACTCACGGGAGCCGGGGACGAGCAGGAGCAGGAGCAGCGCGCAAGAGACGCCGCCGAGGAGCCGCATGGCCGCTGATGGACCCGCCGCAGCCAGGGGAAGCGCGGCCTGCCGCGGCGCGCGGGGCGGGGCGGGGCGGGGCGGGGCGGGGCGGGGCCCCGCGCGCGGCCGTCCCCTCAGACAATAAAACCGCCTCCCGCCGGGCGTGCAGCAGGACTGGGCGGCGCAGGGCTGCGGGGAGTAGGGCCCGTGCTTTGCAACGGACCCGCAGAGCAGCGCCTCGGCGGGGCTGTGAGCTCCCGTGGGAACGGGGGTCGGGCACTGGGAGCGCCGTCTGCGAGCAGCGCGCGCGGTTATCGATGTGGGGCAGTCCGTTTTCTGAGGGCCGTTTTAGTATCTCCCACCTAGAGCATCCACAGCGAGGGCTTATCCACCTTGCTAATAGCGCTGCTTTGAGTAATATCTGGTTACCCGTATTCTCCGTTTGCAGCTCGCCCTGCACATCTTCGTAAGGTGGTGCTGGAGGCTGTGACTGCTGTACAGTTCACAGCCCATTTAAGCGGTGCTGGTCATCGTACAGTCTCTGGCTGTGTTTTATGCTGCTAAATCACCAGAGCTAATGCTTTTGGAGGTATTCTGAAACTTCCCTATGGACTTAGAAAATTGTTAAATCAATCACAAAGGTGATAGGGAAAAGTGAAAGGTAACAACCATGTTAAGTTATTTCAAATTTTTCTTGTGTACTTCTAGCATAAAGTTGATGCTATAAATATATGTTTCAAAGGGAATTTATGAATACATCCTTAAGAGTGAAAGTGCCTTGAAAGTTATTTGTCAGAAAAAGAAAACCTACGTGCTGCTACAAATTGCTTTCTAATAAGTTAGAAAAAAATACTTTTAATGTGGTTAATTGTAGGATCATCATCAAAGCTGCAGCATAATATTTAACACATATTACTTTTATGTTTGCTGCAGCACAATAATGTTGCATTGTCAAGTGATGCATCTGAGCTGGAGAGGCAAAGTGACTGGCCTGAGACCCTACAGGCAGGCTGTGAAGCTGGACTGAGGCACTGTGTGAAACCTACTTCCCTTCCCTGATGACAGAATTATCCTTTTACATGCATTTGCTCTGTAAGTCTCAGTAAGCAAGTGGTAAATTAAAATGCTGAATAAAGATTTTTTTTTTTAATTGTAGCCTAATTAGGCCCCGTAGTTTGCATTCAGTGAAAATAGGTGTGTGCGTTACACTTCCAGCATTTGCTTATGCTTTTGTTCTGCATTGCTTCCTGTGTGGTTCTCATGACTAAGGTACCTGAAGACAAACACATATCTTTTTCCTGTGAATATGCTGAGATGATCCTCCAAAGCTTTTCTTTGTGATGTCAGTAGGAGTAATATCTGCAGCTAGCCCGATTCTAGTAAAGCTTAAAAATGCTGGTAATCCATATGTTACTAAGTAAGGGCCTCTCATTATAGAGGCAAAGCTTACAGTGAGAAAGAAATTTTTTTATTAAACTAACACATTTTTAGAGGATAAAGATATTAATAATGTAAGTCCTTCAGCTCTTGCATAACTCCAGTGAACATAAGGCTTAGAACAGACTGGAAGCAATTTATTTTGGAACAGCCTAATTAATGTTGCTCAACTTGTGTATCTACAAGAAAAGAGAAGTTAAGATACATGGAACAAGTCATAGGCTTGTGGAAGTAGCTATGTCAATCCCGTAGAAGTGATGAGTTAGCAGGAACTGAGATGAGTTGCAAAATAGTATAGGCTCTTTAGTGCATAAAGGCAGAGGTGTTGGAAGGTCTCGTGCTGATTGCTTTGGCATGATTTTGTTTGTTGTTCTGTGGGAGGTGAATTTCTGACAATCTTCCTGGAGGTGGCTGGGAGTTGTTTGTGTGCTGAGAAGGAAACATTCTGGGAAGATTTAGTGGAAGTTAGGATCTTTTGGTATGTAGTGTAATTAATGATTTCCCATATAGATTCCCACATAAAGTTAGGATTGGTGAGGGTTTTTTTTTTTTATTTTTTCCTAATTTTCTACACAATATTCAGTGTCAAAGAGCAGCAAGAATGGGGATACCCCACACTGCAGATGAACTGGGTGCTGGGGGTGACCACGGGAGCTCATCAGCCAGGACGCAGTCCCACAGGACCTGAGCAGGGCAGAGCGGGGATAGTGGTAGTGTCGGACCAGTCAAGGTGATGAGCCTGATCCAGGAAGACCAGCTGGGAGGTAACAGCAGGAGATGGCTCAGAAACAAGGCTATGGCCTAGGTCCAGTGTCAACCCAGGGGACAGGACATAAGGTTACCACCTTTGACAGTCTGAAGTATCACCAGGAAAAACAGTCACTAAATCAGGGCAGCTGAGGACAGGCACAGCTGTGATGCAGCTCAGACAGGGACTGAAGGCTCAGGCTAGATACAGGGCTCCTGGATGAATGAGGAGAGGGTACCTGTGTGGAGATCCCAGGTGAGGTCGGTCAGGGCTTATTATTACCAGTTAAGGCTTACTAGTGCACTCATGGCCACGACATTCAGGCAGTTCATTCAGAGGTACAATCTGACCTCTTAGAGGAATGTACTTGATTGGTGAAGGTTGTTCTTATGTTATTGAGGTAGATATGCTACTGGTAGGATGTTCACACAGGTATCACTAATAAAAGCCCTGCAACAAAGTCATCAAAATCCATGGATCCTAAACATAAGCATCTCAGATCCGTTTTGTCCATGAGATGTTAAAATGGCTTTGTGGAGATGATGAAGATGAAACCAAACAACAGCTCCAGAGCAGGATTAACTCACAAAGATAATCAATAAAAAACAGAAACACCCAATTCGAACAATAAAAACTTTTTATTCAGCAGCTCAAGGGCAGGGTTAACTCACAAAGGCAATCAATAAAAAACAGAGACACCCAGCTGGAACAAGGAAGACTCTTTATTCATATCTCAAGCCTGATCCTCATGAAAGACCAACAAAGGCAAACCTGGGAACCAGAAGTACCAATTCCACTCAGTGTTGAAAACTGCGGACTCATGATTTGCTCAATAAAAGTTTTATGACCACTATAGTTTTCCATACATCTCATCAACTATTAAGCAATTGTTATTCCACAGAAGTTCATTTCTATAGGCTGTCATCTCTCCTAGTTGACATACTTGATCAGCTGTCTTCCTCTCTTAAGGTGTTTGAGGAATATTAGTTTAGGTTACACCCAGAACAGCCATTTCCAGCCTGTACTTAGCTTGATGTCTGCTGTATATGGATCCAACTTGTAAATAAGTTTTTATTCCCCACTCCAAAATGTTTTATTCCAAACATAACAGATGATACCTCACTTTACAAATCATGTAATTTTTGTATTCTTAGACATGAGAGTTAGAGCAACACCGTTAGCTAACAGCAAATTATTTCTAATAGGGAAAAGACAGGAACATCCAACGTGTTTCTCTGAAATACTAGCAAGGATAGCTTTAATTCATGCTTCTTGACAATGCAAAATTAACACTTGAGGTCTATAGAAGGAGAGATAAGAAGCAAGGTTGACCAAACTTGCAATCTTCTTAGTCAGGAGCATTATCAAATCTGCATTTGTTTGGATTATTTCATGCATACTTTTTAAAGAGTAAGGAATTAAGTTCTAAATTATATTGGCACTACCAGGATTAGCCATGTTTTGTTAAACAGCAGTGCCCACATGAAGCATCAGCATTCTGTGAGTGAATACTGGCATTTCCTTGAACTCAGTGTTGGCTCAGAAGTGAACAACTATAATGAAAATCAACTGTAATTCAAGTATTTCAGTCAGAAAGATCTATATACATGGTTGCTTGAAAATCCTTTAACTTTATGAACTTTCTACTCCTGGACAGCTTTAAATTTTACAATCCACACACCAGAGTTTTTATCACTATATTGTACTCGGTCTACTTGTGAACCTCCTGATGGCTTTTCTGTTCTGCAAACTCTATGATGCTAGCTCCTATAGTGAATTCTGTAGTAAAACTGCATAGTGTTGTATTACTGTGCATGCTGTGCCTGGCTCATAGTTTTGCATGCAGGTCCTGAGGCATTCACCCTTTCAACCAGGGATCTGGTAAAGCCTGGAGCTTGCTACGGAGGGTGCCTGGGAGTCTGCAGTATGTATGGTCAGGAATGTGGGAACCATACCTGGTGAGTCCTTAACTGCATTTTCCTGTGTTCTTGTACTCTGATGAGTAAGAAACAGACCGCAACAACTGGCTGCTTCTCACATCAGTGTAGTGGCTCTCAGAAGGAAACAACTTCCAGTCATAGCTGACCTAATTTGAATGGGTAATTTAAATGGTAAAAATAGAGTGCTTTCCTCTTATAAAGCAGTTCTTCCACATAGATCAAAACACTTTATGAAAATTCAGTGTAGTGGAGTTTTTGACTATTCAGTTTCCAGTGAAATTGTGCAGATACTTTGGTGATGAGTGGGAGTTTAAGATGTTCAGCAAGATAGATAACTTCTCTCTGTTGTGCTGTGACAGAAAGAGGAGGTTGTTGGCTGAGTGCAATGCAGCCGCCTTACAGAGTTGACACCACAAATGTTCATAATGGTGCAAACCAGGAAATAGTAGAAAAACCAGCAAACCGAACAACAACAAAAAAATCCTAATTGGAACTGCAGGTGAATTTCAGTGATCCAGAAGTGAGTAGTTGATTTTGGAGCCTGGCCACTTTGATGGGATAAAGAAACAACTATTCTGACAAAATCCATTACAGGACCTTAAAGGCCCAGCCTTGGTGCCACTGTCTATTGGTTGCACACTGTCCTGGACAGGGAGATTTATGTATGTGGCCTGAACCATGTTGCTTCCTTCAGCATTTGTCAGGTACCACTTGGGCATGTGATTCTCCTCCTGTCCTTGTGCAGCTTAAGGCTAATCACAGCTGGCTTCTGCAATCTGATTCAGATCTTGATTTTCAGAAGTAATTTTCAGTACTAGAGAAAACTCTCCCTATTACAGAACATTCTCTGAGATGAATCTGAAAATAGACTTTTTTTTTTAAAGATTAAAATGCATATTTTCATGCAAATATAATTGCATCAGAGGAATGTATCTCACACAGCCATATCAGCCATGGTACTTGGCACTAGTGGTTGCTTG